AACAATTTCTTTATAATAAAATAATGAATCAGATGTAAAAGGCTTAATAAAAACATAACATTTAAAAAAATTGCGAAATAAATGGTCATATTCCGTTTTCTTAGGTGGGTGGGTGGGGGTGGAGCGGGGGTAGGGGTGATGGGTGTTGTTGTTCTTGTTTTCATTTTTCTTTACTTTGTGTACTAAATATTAAGTGATTGTACGTAAAGAATAACGTACATTAGCATTAAACCTTTTAAGTTTAAATAAAATACTATAAGACAAACCTTTCATTTTACAGACAGACAAACGGGCATTCTTATTCAACTTTTCGTTCCTTTTCCATGAAATCAATATATTCACCGAATAAATAAAATTCCTATACAAATATACATTATTTTCACGAAGTCCTTCAACTTTTCTTTATATGTACAATATTATGGTCAGATTTTTCATTCATTGATCTTTGATCTCCTTTTATTTTAAATTTTGACCATAGAAATTTCTACGACCAGTCAAAAATTATTGCTTGATAATATATATGACCAAAAAAGTACAAATCAGCCGTAGGGTAGGGTGGTACATTAAAGTCAAATTTTTTTATGGTCTTGTCACTCCACTAATATCATACATCTTATAATATTGCAGTTAATGTTGCTCCCCTTGTATATTTTCTAATACCTATCAGAAGCTTATTCTTTTGACGAAAGTAAATTTTTTTGCTTTTATTTTTACACTGTGAAATTTTCAAAGTATTTCGATTAATTTATTCTATTTTTCACTTTACGTGTGCAACGAACTACATTTTGTAGCGGAGTAAACAGGAATAGTTGTGAACTGAGCAGGGGACTAAGGACCTAGTTGAGGGTATGTCGATAGCTTTAAATCTGGTGTCGCTTACAGGTTGGTCGCTTTACTATCTGGTACCTGTTACAGGTTGATAGCATTAAAATCTGATACCTGTTAGAGATCGATAATCATGAAGTCTTATACCACTTACAAGTCGGTAGCTTTAATATCTGGGCCCTGTTACAGGTCGGTAGCTTTAATATCTGGTACCTGTTACAGGTTGGTATGTTTAAATCAGACATCTGTAAGAGTTAGAAGGGTTCAAGTACTAAGATTTCATTGGATAAATATCTGGTACCTGTTACAGGTCGGTGACCTAATATCTGGTACCTGTTTAGCGCCTGCAGCTTTTAAAATCAGACATATCTACAGTTAGAAGACTTAAAGTTCTTAAATTTGAATTCATGAATATCTGGTACCTGTTACAGGTCGGAAGCTTAATTGGTACTTGTTACAGGTCGGTTTTTATAATCTTGTATCTGTTAGAGTCAGGAGGGTTAAAGTACTAAATTTGATTGTGTAAATATCTGGTACCTGTTATAGGTCGGTGAGCCTAAAGCTGGTACCGGTTACAGGTCGGTATTTAATAACCAGACATCCGTAAGGGATAGGAGGATTAAACAACTAGAATTTGATTGTGTAAATATCTGGTGCCTATTACAGGTCGGTAGCTAATATCTGGTACCTGTTACAGGTTGGTATATTAAATCAGACATCTGGAAGAGTAAGGAGGTGTAAAGTACTAGAATTTTATTGTTGAAATATCTGGTACATGTTATAGATCGGTGAGCTTAAAGCCGGTACCTGTTACAGGTCGGTAATTTATAATCAGACATCTGTAAGAGTTAGGAGGGTAACATTACTAGAATTTAATTGTGTAAATACCTGGTACCTACTACAGGTCGGCGAGCTAATATCTGGTACCTGTTATAGGTCGGTTTGTTTAAATCAGACATCTGTAAGAGTTAGAAAGGTTCAAGTACTAGAATTTGATTGGATAAATATCTGGTACCTGTTACAGGTCGGTGACCTAATATCTGGTACCTGTTTAAAGCCTGTTTGTTTAAATCAGACATCTCTACGAGTTAGAAGAGTTAAAATTAAATTTGAATTTATAAATATCTGGTACCTATTACAGGTCGGGAGCTAAAGTTGGTACTTGTTACAGGTTGATATGTTATAATCAGACATCTGGAAGAGTCAGGAGGGTTAAAGTACTAGAATTTTATTGTGTAAATATATGGTACCTGTTATAGGTCGGTGAGCTTAAAGTTGGTACCGGTTACAGGTCGGTATTTTATAATCAGACATCTGTAAGGGTTAGGAGGGTTAAACTACTAGAATTTGATTGTGTAAATACCTGGTACCTACTACAGGTCGGTTAGCTAAAATCTGGTACCTGTTACAGGTCGGTATGTTTTAATCAGACATCTGTAAGAGTTAGAAGGGTTAAAGTACTAGAATTTGATTGGATAAATATCTGGTACCTATTACAGGTCGGTGACCTAATATCTGGTACCTGTTACACGTCTGTATGTTTAAATCAGACATTTCTACGAGTTAGAAGGGTTAAAGTACTAAAATGTGACTGCATAAATATCTAGTACCTGTTACAGGTCGGGAGCTAAAGCTGGTACCTGTTACAGGTCGGTATGTCATAATCAGACATCTGGAAGAGTCAGGAGGGTTTAAGTACTAGAATTTTATTGTGTTAATATCTGGTACCTGTTTCAGGCTGGTGAGCTAAAATCATGTACCTGTTACAGATTGGTTCGTTTTAATGACGTGTATGAGAGGTGTGATGTTTTATGTACTTGAACCAAGAATGGTTAAATATCTGGTACTTGATAAGGGTAGCTGAAGTGCAATTCCGTACCTTTTAGAAGTAGCTAATTGAGGTAAGTAGCTTCTCTTTCTGAATTATACCTCTTACAGGTGGAGAGTTCCATATATACATGTAGTCCCTGTTATAGGTGATTGGCTTTTTATGTCGGTATCTGTTGTAGAGATAGAAATTATCATACCCTGATTCATATTAACACTACATAGGTAGCTTCATAACCTGGTGCCTATAACAGATAATAAATAAACTATGTGAAAGATCTTACAGGTAACTTCATATTCTGATACCTCATACAGGTAGGTTAGTACCTGTAAGAATTAGGATGATTCATTATTGTATGCCACAACTCATTATTTTAAATTATTTTAACATTGGTATAACTTTTGCCAAGGGCTTTAATATTTCACATGTCTCTCAAGGTTTTCCCCTGTTGTTGTGTTTGTTTTCTTCATGTTTAGGCTCATATTCATACTTATACTTTCTTTTTTTTCTTGATGTCTTTTTCTTTTTATTTCAGTTGCATGCAACAGAAGTTCATTGCTAATCCATGCCTTAGAGAAATGTTCTCGTTTTTGGACACATTTTCATGGCACCCTATTTGATCACCGTAGATAATAGTCGGAAGAAACATTTCAATACACATCTATCATTCTTCCAGTTACTGCGCGAAAAACTTTGAAATGACACGCCAATTAAATCAATATTTTTTCGCTCTATTTTCACTATTTTTTTTCGCTGCATTTACAAGATCATTGTATCAAGGATGTGAAATAAATTGATATTTTTCTCTAATGTAATTTGTGTGCGCTAATGATCCTTTTTTAAAAATGCCAAATAGAAAATAAAATAATTTCATGTCTTAGGAATTAAATATTAAATGAAAATTGTTCGAGCAGTGAGAATGAAAAGGCTAAACTTTTCGTTGAAAAAAAAATCTAATTGTACATGTTTATTTGAAATATTATATGCCGTAAAACTATAGCTATGAACATTTTTGTTTAATTATACCATTTATGCCTACTTCAAACCAATATATGCAAAAAAAATTATATCGACATATTAAAGACGCATTCCGTTCATAAGATCACGCGTATTGCATTGGCTGGGTGTATCTTTCTTTGAGTTATTTTTTTTTCGGGGGGGGGGGGATATATCTATAAGTCTGGGAAACGCCACTCAATTGATATGAAGTTTTTTAAAATTAGATTTAATAGTTTATTTTTCTCTGACTGCCCCCTAAATCTATTAAAAACGATACTACATGTACATAACTGGGCCGGATGTCGGGTGTTTGTGTGTGCAGGGGAGGGGGTAATTGATATCTATTGGTCTGGGAAATTGCAACTCTCCATTGAAAAAAACAGGTCTGTACTTTATGTGCTCAGTGAATGTAAATTAAAAATTTGAGCACAACAAAACAATATTACATTTAGAAGTAAAAAAGAAAAATAAATAAGTAATGAATGAAAAAAATTAAACGTCCTTAGACGGGGGGGGCTGTGTTGTATCAAAAAGATTTTTTTAAAAAAATGAATAAATTTTATATATTGTGTAACGTTAAGATACCCCCCCCCCCCTTCCGCAATTATTTCTGCGAAAAAGACATACAACATGTGTATATGCTCCAAAGATCCCCAATTAGTTAACGGTATTTTCCCTCTTTTAATTATTACGCTTTTTACATACATGCCTTAATGATAAACATTAAAAGTCTTATAGTACGATTTAGTGGAACTTTTCAATGCGGGTAAGATTTTATGTATGTCACCGTTGTAACGCGAGATAACTCGTATGCACTTATGGAAAGATAACTCCTGCCCGCCGCCGTGCAAGCGGTACCAAATAGCCTCGACCTTTCAATGTACAGCGCTCTCTCTCTCTCTCTCTCTCTCTCTCCTCTCTCTCTTACGGAGAAGATTGTACTCTCCCTCTCTCTCTTACGGAGAAGATTGTATATATTGGGTGTGCCCCTGTGCTAAAAATAGCGACATGTAATACTATAAATACTAATAAAACAAACGGGGCACACTTTGAGAGGAGTGAGAGAGGTCCTAGGAAAAGAACAGAACAGGACAGAAAAGGACAGACAGACGGACGGACGGACAGACAGACCCAAATTAACATCCCTATCTTTTCAAGCGGGGGACAAAATTGGGAGAAATAAGGAAGAAAGTTTCCATATTTAATGGCTTTGGGATAATTATTGGCATAAAAACTAATAGAAATTTTGCAGAGATGATAGCGAAACATACATACATTTCTAATATTTGTTGTTGATTTTTACAAGCTGACTCTTAGACATTTTTGTAACTTTAGATGACCTGTGGGTGAGCTCGATCTACATTGGTGATAAATATTGCGGAATGGCTTATTTAGATCCAAAATATCCAGAAGATGTTGTAAGCCTTGGAAGGAATGAAATGATAGGAGTTCTCCTCACAAAGGATGGGCAAGTGAAGGAGTTTGGAGATAAAGCCCGTAAAATGTTTACTGAAAATAGAGAAGATTCCAGTGATTATATTTTTCTTGATCATGACAAATTGGATATAGAGCTCGGCAATGATTATGTAAATATACAACTATACGTCTCAATTTCTTATGATACAAATACAGTACATGCTTTACAAAGATTTTGCATCTTAATTACTTATCCACACTTTATTTTTTATGTCTTATGATTTTATTATTACAGATTTCTGAACTGCCTTCCTTGAAAATAATTGACGTTTATCAGAGTATTATTGGCTTCTTGGTCAGGAAAATTGTTGAGACAGTTGCTGGTCCTCTGGAAAAAGAAGGCACATCATGTAAATCAGATTCATGTTTATTATGCAACATGCATTGTGTGATCACAGTTCCTTATCACTGGAAAATCTACGTTAGAGATCTCAGAAGCGCTTTTGACAGAATAATGGTAAGATTTATGTATAAACACTCGGGAAAATAATAACCATTTAAGATTTTCTTTTATTGAACAGAAACTCAAAGCAAATAAGATACACGAATTTGAGTATTTTACTTGTGGATATTTTAGAAAGAGATTCACAAAAACGTGAACAAAGAGCAGTTGCACATTAAGTCGAGAGAGGTGGCGATATCTCCATACATTCATGAAGTTAAAGCATCTGTCACCTGTTTGAATTTCAATGTTGACAACCTGATTTTTAAAGAAAAAACAGCATATGTTAATCTACATGTTGGATCAAGTAAGTATTGAACAATCATAATACCTTTTGGTTGATGCAAAGACTTCCATATATTACAGGTATTTTCCATCAAAAAAAAACCATATCCTTTCATTTAAAGATTTTTTAAGTCACCTGAGTAACTCAGGTGACCTATTGCTCTCCGTTTTCGTCCGTCGTCGTGCGTACCGCGTCGTGTGTCGTGCTTCGTGTGTCGTGTGTTAACATTTGTACATTTTCAGCTTCTTCTCTGAAACCACTGAACCAATTTCAACCAAATTTTGTATACAGCATCTATGGGTGAAGGAAAACAAAAATTGTGAATTTCATGGTCCCCGCCCTCCTGGGGCCTGAGGGGTGGGGCCAAAACCTTTAAAATTATTGCAATCTTTAAAAATCTTCTTCTTTACTCCTGGTCATTAAGCAGGCAAACTTTGAGCATGGATGTACATGTGAAATGAACATTGAATCCTCCACCAAATTTGTGAAATTCATGGCCCCAGTGTCAGGGGTTCTAGTGCTAGGGCGGGTCTATATATATTATATAGTGAAAATGCATTATTTCTTCGAAAATTTTCTCTGCTCCTGGGCATTAAATAAACTAACCAAGTACATAGTTATGATAAGCAAGAGTGCCTCTACCAAAATTGTGAACTTTATGGCCCCAGGGTCAGGGGTTCTGGTGTTAGGGCGGGGCTCTATAGATAATATAGTGAAAATCCATTTATTCTTTGAAAATCTCTGCTTTTGAGTAGTAATAAACTAACTAAGTACATAGCTATGATGAGCAAGAGTGCTTCTTCAAGATTTGTTAATTTTATGGCCCCAGGGTCAGGGGTTCTGGTGTTAGGGCGGGGCTCTATTGATTATATAGTGAAAATCCTTTTATTCTTTGAAAATCTCCTTCTCTGCTTCTGGGTATTAAATAAACTAACTAAGCACATAGTTATGATGAGCAAGAGTGCCTTTTCCAGATTTGTGAATTTTATGGCCCCAGGGTTAGGGGTTCTGGTGTTAGGGCGGGGTTCTAAAGATTATATAGCGAAAATCTTTGAAAATCTCCTTCTCTGCTTCTGGGTATTAAATAAACTAACTTAGTACAAGTTATGATGAGCAAGAGTGCCTCTTCCAGATTTGTGAAATTTTTGGCCCCAGGGTCAGGGGTTCTGGTGTTTGCGCGGGGCTCTTTTGATTATATAGTTAAAATGCATTTATTCTTTGAAAATCTTCTTTTCTGCTTTTTGGTAGTAAATAAACTAACTAAGTACATAGTTATGATGAGCAAGAGTGCCTTTTCCAAAATTGCATGTGAATTTTATGCCAATGATCCAAGTACCGGGTATATATATATATTTATGATGAAGAAACGTGCATATAGCAAAATGATTATTTTTATATGCCCCAAGGGGGGATGCTTTGAAACCTGATCTTTGGTATTAATCAACCATTTTATGATAATATTTGCAAAATTTTGAAATATGTGGCCCCAGGGTCAGTGGTTCTTTTTGGGTGAGGTGCACAACTGGTTGTAAAGTGGAAGAACATTTTCTCTTTGTAGTTCTGATCTGCCTCTGGGTTTTGAGTAAGTAGAGTATTTTTAATTGTTAAGCAATGGTGCCTCTTTCAAAATTGTGAATAGTGAGTTTCATATCCTCTGGTTTAAAATACAAACCAAATTTAATTGTTTGAAAGTTGTTACACAATATTCAGGTGACCTACAAGGCCCATGGGCCTCTTGTTATTTCTTGACCTTGGAGTTTGTCATTTAGCCCAAATTTGAGAAACAACCTTTGACATATGATGCCAAAGGACGGCATCAAGTTTCTTCCAGCTAATCGTCTTTATAAAGTACGGCTCTGTGTAAAAATCATGCAGGGAGTGATTAGTGGGGGATTATCAGAATTTTTTTCAAACTTTTGCATGTTGGTAGAGTAGGCTAAGATACTCCAAAAAAATTAATATTTTTTTAAAAAAATTATTGTCAATGGTATCCGTGGTAACCAATAAACTGTTTTGGACAAAAAATGGCTGAAATTTCCTCAAAAACAGGCAAATATTTATCAATTTTGAAGATTAAATTAAAAAACTAAACAATATATCACATTTATGTTTATTTCTTATTAAAATACAGTTACTTTTCATAACTAGTCAAAATATATTTATTATCAGTTATGAGTTATTATTTTATGCTAAAAAGGGGAGATAATCCATATTTGCAAAAACTGATAATCCATTTTTGAGGATTTTTGTCTATCAAAAATTTCTTTAAAAAAACCCACAGCTAATCTAAAAGGCCATGGTAGTTTCATAAACACTATATTCTAAAGCAAATAAAATAATAAAAACATTTTTGTGCAAATGATTATTAATTTCCCAAAATAACTGATGAATTTTGTACAAAAAATGGTAAATTCACCTTTTTTTGTCACAGTCCAATATGCCATGTATGTTTGCATGTAAAAAATAAATAGCATTTCAAAACCATTTTTTTATATTTCCAATTTCAAATACAATAAAATTATTTACTTTTCATAATTAATCCAATTATTACCACGTCCAGGAATAGTTTTAAATTTTAAGCTGAAAAGGGGAGATATCATGTCGAGAAAAACTGAAATTTTCAATTTTAAAAGGATTTACAGCTTAATTCAGCTATATCATAAAAAATTTAAAGAAAAAATACTCTACAGCCAAACAGAAAGGCAGTGTATATTTCATAGATACCATCCCTTTATGGCAAATAAAATAATAAAAACATTTTTGTGCAAATGATTATTAATTTCTAAAAGCCATTAAAGAGTTTCATACAAAAAATGGGAAATTCACTTTTTCGTCACGGTCAAATAAATGTCATGTACATATTTACTCATGTTAAAACATAAATAACATTTCAAAACAATTTCTTAATACTTCCAAATCCAAATACAACACAATTATTTGTTTTCAATAATCAAATTATATCTATGTACTGCATTATTTCTAATTTAAAGCTGAAAAGGGGAGATAAATTCATGCTCACAAAAAAGAACAAAATATCATTTTTTGAGGATTTCAGTTACCGGGTATCAAGTAAATAAAATATATCTATGATTTAAAAATTAGCGAAACAAAAAGGCTGAGTAGGTTTCATAGATACCATACCCTATTGAAAATTAAAAATGTGCACCAAAATCATTGTGATTAATAATTTCACCAAAAAAAAAAAAGAAGTAGCATCATCTTTTATCAAGATACAAATATACACCATGCTACACACCAGTATATTTTTTACATGTAAAAATATAAGATTACATTTCAAAATAAATTCGTTTACATTTCCAAATTCAAATACAACACAAATTATTTTTTATCATTAATGAACAGTAAAATGTTGTAAAAAACATTTGAAAATATTAATCATATTAATATTGATTAATAGACACATTTATTATATAATCATTGTATATGTAAACACAATTTTAAAAGTTTTACATCTTTTTAAGGTGCAGTCATGCCAAACAGAATATTACTAATCTCCCCTGCTTCTCTTCTGTAATAAGTGACTGTCCTTTGTTATATTAGCCTCTTCTAAAGGCACTTAAGATCTTGGGAAGAGAATTGCTGCCTGATTAACATTATCCAAAGTACCGTCATGGTATCCACTGAACTCGAATCTTTTCTTTTTAACAGCTTTAAATATTTTATTATCCATTCTTCCTAAAATAATAATTACAATATACATGTACATGTATTTATCATGCATCAATTTAGAACTCTCTAGTTTATACTACATTAATATTAAGGTACTAAATGGTTATTTTGATTTTATAAATTACTTTACATGGAATATCAAGTTTATATAATGCAGTAATTTCATTAAAAATCTAAAATGGCTGCATGGCATATATTCTCCCACCTTTGGAGTCTTATTAGTTGGTGGTGTTCAATGATGTTTTCTTCTTGTCTGTAATAAATAGTGTAACCTTTTCATTCAAAACCATGATGCAGCCCATCGTGTACATTCTGTGAAATTAAAAATGGGGTATAATTCATTTCAACATAAATAATACACATTTATGAAATACAGTAAAACAAATTTATAAAAAAGTCACCGAGACCTATGAAATTACTTTGCTTCATCCGTTACTCGTTGTTTCCATATAAGGAATTTGTTAAATTTATAGCTGGGGATCTAAAATAACTTTTCTATATCCGTGAATTCGCTATAGTGTATCCGTGTTCGTAGTAAACGAGTTTTGCTGTATGTGAAATATCTTTTCTATTAGCGTATTTTTCATTATTTGCAATATGTCTCCGCTTTTAACTTTAGTACAATTTAAACAACATTATAAACTTGAATCTACACTACTTGAGGCCTCTTCCAATGACTTCCATATTATTACAATATCAATCATGACTTTGCTGTTCTAGGGAAGATTCTCCATTATATATTGCAATGTGAAACTTTGATCCTCATTGTGGCCCCATCCTACCCAAAGGGGGGTTTAACTCAACCAATTTATTTATACACTACATTATAATTACCAGAGACTGCTTCCATATAATTACTTTGCTGTTCTTAAGAAGATTTTAAAAGATTGTTACTAGTGTTGGCAACGAGTACCCAGTTAACCGGTTAACCGTCAAACGATGCGAGTATCGGTTAGTAAAATTGCTATTAGGTTACTCGGATAAAAATACATTTTTCATAGTAAATACGTACATGTATAAAATGATTTTTATGTTAATTTTAATCGATATTGACACGTTTCCCTAATTTAATTACCGCTGGGCTTGCTCTAGTGGTTCACAAATAGGATAGATTTTTTTGATTAGTTTAATTGATGGCTTTAATTGCCAGGGGGTACACATTTTAAAGGCCTGATTTATAATTACCTAATTTAGACCTATATAAGTCAGAGGAACATACTTTAACAAGATACCGAAACAAACATCTGTAGTGTGGAAATATTGTTAAAGAACGGCTGACTCGAAATCTGTCAAATTGCAATTTATGTGAACCGGAGTTGTCGTATACGAGT